TAATAATAGAAAATCATAAGTTAAAATATAGAATATAAGAATAATCAACAATAATAAAATATAATAAAGATATAAAAGATAATAAATAAATAAGATAAAATAGAAGATATAAGAAATAATAAACATATACAATAAATAATAATAAATATTTTAACACAATAAAAAAGAATAATGTCAAAAAGAATAAATAAGAAAAGAATAATAATAATATAAATGATAATCAATTATAATTTATTTCTACTTCAATTTATATTGTATTCCATTTATTGTATTTTTATTTTATTTATCACCATTTGTTAAAACAATCTCTTGGTATTCTTTTATTTTTCATTAATTCTTTTTCACATCCACATCCATAAAAACAACCATCTCCAAATGAAGTAATTGATGATGGTATATTAATTGATGTTAATGATGGACATAAATAAAAACAATCTTCTCCTATTTCACTAATTGGTGATGGTATATTAATTGATTTTAGTGATGTACATCCATTAAAACATCCATTTCCTAATTCACTAATTGATGATGGAATATTAATTGATTTTAATGATGAACATTCTCTAAAACACCAACTTCCTAATTCATTAATTGATGATGGTATATTAATTGTTGTTAATGATGAACAATATTTAAAACATTTATACCCAAGTGATTTAACTTCTGATGGTATTATATTCCCATATGATTTTCTATCTGATTGTGTATATTCTATATGTTTACAGATATTTCCTTGTTCTTTCTCTTGTAAATATGTTGAATATCTACTTGATACCATATTACTTGTTTAAATATTTTTCCATCTTTAAATATTTCATCATATTTATTATAAACATGAAATGTTTCAATATTAGGAAATAATTTTCTTGAATATTGATTTAATGGAATTGGATTAAAATGAAATCGTTCAATATTTCCTCTAAATCTTTTAACTCCCATTTCTAAATTAATAAAATCATTAATGTCATTAAAATACATTGATGTTATCATTATTTCATTATATCCTAATTTCATTCTTGATTTATTATTTATTAGTTGTTTTTATTAGTTCTTTTATTTTTATATTTTAATTTCTTCTTTTTTATTATTTTATCATCATTCTATTTTTATTAATTGATATTTGTTATGAAAAACAATAAATAATAAGAAATAAAATAAAATGATAATTATTTTTATTTTTAATAAATTATAATTATTAAATATTTCATTTTATTTTATATTTTATTCATTATTTCATTTTATATTTTATTTTTATTTAATAATATAATAATAAAATATGATAAAAGATAATAAATATAATAATAATAAATGAATAATCAATATATTTATAATAAATGATAATATAATTAATGATATAATTAATGATAAATAATTATGAATTCATTTATTTTATTATCTTTTATTTTTATTCATTCTTAATTTATTCTTTTCTTTCTTTATTTTTATTATTATTTTATATTTAAAATGATTATTTAAATAAGAAATAATATAAATAAGAATAATATAATGAATAAAACATAAATAAAAGAATGAATTAATTGATAAATTAAATTAAATAATAAAATAATTATATAATATTTCAATATTTAATAAAATATGATAAAATAAATGATTTCATAATGAATATTAAATTCATGAAATAATGAATAATATAATATAAAATGATAAATAAAAATAAAAATGATAATAATAAATAAATAATAATACAAAATATAAATAATAATAAATATAAAAATGATATAATACAAATATATTAATCAAATTAATATATAAATAAAAATAAATAATAATAATAAACAAATAATAAAATTGAATATATTTTTTATTAAACAATCGAATAAATAAAATAAATAAAAAATATAAATAATAATAGAATAAGAATAAATTCAAAAAGAAATATATATAATAAATAAAAATAATAAAACCATACATAGAAAAAGAAATAAAAAAATAAAATATAATAAACATAAA